CGAGCCTACTATTTGTACATGATAAAAAGACAACAATAAGAATATGATTTGCATTTTTTTAAATGCACCTCCCCCCCCCGCCCCAAGAGGAAGGTTATAATTTAATTATATTCAGCGTTGCCACCTTTTCGAATTTTAAGAGATATAATAATATTAAATAATAAAAGTAATTCTTAAAAAAGTATTCCTGATTTTTGGCTATTTTTAATATTGCATTGACCTTTTTTTAAAAAAAAACGTGGTCATAAATCACAGATTCCAATTTCATTAGTATAAATTAGTTCACTCGAATATATTTCGTTTGTTTCCATATTTCATTTATTATTAATATGAAATACTCTTTTTATGAATGCGGTATACTTAACGGAATACTCTGAATAAATAAATTGCATTTATCTGAATAATGAAGGACATTTTGATCATATGGGCATAGGGCATTTAATCTTAATAGAGGACTGTTTTCCAGAGAAAAGGAGGAGGTGGCTACCCTAACCCTAATGATAATATACAATTATTTAAATTATGTTTAAAGTTAATTACAGTTTTAACGGATGAAAAATGTTAATTAAAAATTATGGTCAATATTTAATGAATGTATACATGATAGCTATCTTTTGTTATTTTATATTTAGAATTAAAACCTAATCTTTAAAATCAAGAGACAAGAATATAAAAAATTCTGGTGAGGGGGAGAAAAGAAGAAAATCCTTTTTGAGTGTTTCAGGGATGTTTATTTTACTTTAATCTTCATCAATCTACACTAAAGAGGTTAATCGTCAGATTTTAAACTCAATTTCTCTAACATATTGTGTTTTGTATATTTTTATTTGAATGAATAAAACAAAAAAGGGTGGTAATTTTAAATTTTTTGCGTCAATAATTGGTGTTAAAAAATGATGCTAATAATTCATACAAAATAATATTTGCTCAAACGAAGCGAACCCCAATAGCTTTATTGGTATTTGCTATATTATTCGAATAATGAGATATTCGATAATGAGATATTCGATAATGAGATATTCGATAATGAGATATTCGATAATGAGATATTCGATTGTCAGAGCATTAGTAATTAAAAATTTTATAATAATATGAATAAATTCTTAACAAATTTCTTTTAAATTTAGTTTTTTGGGTAGAGAAGAGAACATTTATCTTTTAACTTACCCAAATTTAAATTACAAATTATAAGAGATCTATAGCTAAAAGGTCGGCATTGGTTCATTTGATTCGTTAGGAAAAAAAATCAACCACATTTTTAAATCCAAAAAACAAAATTAACAGCTGAAAATTTTTTTTTTATTTCTCTAAATTTTAAAATAATCTTAAAAAATTAAATCCGATAAAATTTTAATGTTGAAAATAGGAAAACTTTCCTAAAATATGTTTGTAAAGAATCATTTCAAAAAAAATCTAATAAATGATCTCTTTCCTTTATTGAATATTTTATTTTTGATTAGAATATATTTTTATTTATAATATTAAAAAAATATTTAAAAATTTATGATAACTAATTCTATTATGACCGATCTCTAAAAACCTATTTATATAAAATTAATTATTAAATATTATATTCTTTTCCGATTATAATGGTTCCCATTTGATTTTGAGATTCCAGAAATTCATTTTACATGTTTCTCGTAAAGTTTACACACCTTTAACTTTTTAAATTTTTGATCCTTTAAGAAACTAATATATATAGTATATATTGTATCTTACACGATACAACTATTTTATTCGAAAAAGTTTTACATTAAATATTATTTTGATCATTAGTAAAGTTGGGCGCTATATTGAATTACTAATCTGAGCCGTTTTAATTACTAATGCATAATTATAAAATTAAATTTATATTTTGATTTTCCCGCCCGGGTTTTATATTTTCAGGCCCGGCGTGGTCCGAATTTTTTAATTTTTATAGCAAATAATGGTGATTTAAAATATTTTGTTTTAAAATATACAGCCCGGCCTGGTCACTTTTGGCCCGACCCTGGTATTTAAAAAAATTTTTAGACTCGGCCCGGGTATATTCAGGAAAACCAAAATACGGTCGGGCCGGGCTTAGGGCTGGGCCTGTAGGATCTGATTTATGTGCTTAAATAACTAAAGTTTTAATTTTTGTTATATAAATTTGGCTCAATTTTATTAAAGTATTAAAATTATTCTAGAAAATATCTTTCTTGGATCTATTTACGGTTCACTTTCTTGCTGTTTTTAAAACGCGTGCAATATTAATTAAAGGCTATAATTCATATTTTTTTAACATGCAAGGAAAAAAATTTGAATTAACTATAATCCAGAGGCTTGTTGAGCAAATTATGAATTTCACAAAAAATTCAAAATTATGATTATAGTATATTAAAATAGAGGTTTGAGGTATCGATTGATATTTTGACCTTCTCATTTCCCAATATATAAAGCGCAGAAGTTATAGCAGATTTTACAAAAATTGGCTGGGCTACAGGTCGCCCACCCCTTACTTTGAGTAAATCCAAAAATGACGACAAAAGGAATGTTTAATATAAAATATGCCATGAATTAGTGGTAGTAAGTGTTCATTTTTTGATTTTATTTTTGCATAGGATATATTTTAGGGTGTTCAAATTAAATTTACAGTTATTGATATTATACTTGTTTAATAGTTTCTTCTTTTATAGAAACAAACGTTTTAAACAAAACTATTTAATTATATATAATGTATATTATACTTAACTTCAAAATTAATGAATGCGAGGAAAATCATTTTGAAAAGATATTATTTTACAAATTCTTTTCTTTTTTTGACATAAATTGTATAAACAAAAAAAAATTATAATAATTATTATAATTTTATAAAATGTAGAAATCAATATCAATGCATAAATATTAACATTCATTACATTAGGCTGCTAGGGGATTAATTTGAATTTCATAAAGTTTTGTAAAATTGTATTTATTACACATGCATTGGATTCGGAATGCGATATTTTTATATTAAGCGCGTAACCTGGTATATCTCATTATCACCTAAATCTTGCCATGGAATTAGGCTTAGAGCAGCTTAACATGTTTTATGCGATATATTATTGTGTTAATAAGCGTAAGATCATTTCACATGTAAGATTTCAATAAATGTTTTAGTTTTTTGTGAGGCATTTTAAAATATCATTTCCAGTTTGAAATTTATTTAACCATTTCTAAGAACTAATAATTGCGGGAAAAAAATTTCAAATCTTTAAAATTAACAGGATTTTTAACATTTATATTGGATAAGCTGAATATTTTTCAAGATTATATTCTTTTCGATTTTCTATTCTTAAATGGGTAAAAAAATATAAATAATCATTTTTAAGTATATCCTGATTTTAATCATATATGACAAATCTTTTATTTTATCCAGAGAAATTCAAATATTTAGGTCGGGCCCGAATTTGATTTATTTTTATGCCTAGCCGTCCCGAACTTTTATAAATGTAATTTGGCTCAAAGGGAAATAGAAAATAGGAGCAGTGAATGAATATGAAATGATCCTTCATATGTTTTTCTAATTAGTTAATTTATATAATTTATATTTATTTTAAAAATTCGATGGAGCGGGGGTTTTCTAAAAAAAAATATTTGTAAGCCCGGCTCAGGTTTTTAATTTATTTCTAATCACCGCAAAGATTTTTTAAATCGAACCATTTAATAGGCAGAATTAGATATACGGAGTTTTCTTGACCGGGCTTGTCGGTCTCCAATAAACATTTTTATTCTACGAACTTTCAATTGAGTTAATTATTATGTACGAATGAAGCTATCTTCAATATTTTCTAAAGGATTCTATATTATTTCCTTATTGATTCGTTAAAAATTATAGCCAGGTTTCTTTCCTAATTATTCCTTAGGAATGTTAAATTTAGAGAGAGCTGATAATAAAATATAATCGCGTGTAATGTTTTACTATTTCTTTCAAACATACCGGACATTTAAATATTAGATTCCTTCATCGGTATGATTCGAATGTGAAGAAGAGCGGCTGATAACCACATCAAATTATATTTTACTCACCCTGATAAAACTTAGATAAGAGTAGCAAACCTTCTTATTTGAGTGTTTATAAAATAAAATATCACAAAAAATTAGATAAGTCGCCATTACACACAAACATATCAATAAAATTATCTTTTTTTATGGGAATCTAAATTTCTTATTAATTCCTTAAACTACCATATTTTTTTTACCTGATAATAAAATTCTGGAAAAATGTTAAAAACTGAGGTTTTTTATACCGGGCCAGGTCTTAAAATTTTTTTAAAAAAAATATCTAAGAGTATTTTAAAACCAAATATTTAAAATAGCCATTATTAATTATAAAAATCCGCCAGGCCTAAAAATATAAAATCCGGGCTCTGCATGTTTCATACTTATTTTATTTAGATAATAATTTTGTATTTATTTTTTTCTCCCTAACACAATTTAACCCTCTTATTTTATTTTCGTTTAATAATGTTTTTCCAACTTTTAGGGTTTTTGAAATTAACAATTTTATTTTCTTTTGGCTTTTTAACGTTTTAAATTTTTTAGTCCCTCTGAATTATACGTTATAAAGGAGGCATATTTTTTGCAATTAATTAAACATTATGTTTATACATTTAATATTTATTAAATTTTTTGCTCATCTTTATCTGAAAATTTATTATTTTTTAAATTTTTTATAAAATTTTATAATTCCATTTTTTTTAAAATAACATTAATTACACAAACAAATATTTTTAAAAAATATATATCGTCATTTTATTATAATCCTAATTAAATTTATACCAAAAAAATTTAGAAATGTTAAAACTTTCGCGTAAAATAATTGGTTGTCACAACAATCTGTAATTACAAAAAAAACAAAATTATCCTATTTTATAAAAATCCATAAAAAAGCGATTTTCGAAAATTTATATCGATTATTTTGGTTAATATAAAAATATAACGTGTATGCTAAAATACTATCTGTTATAAAATTATATATGGGCTTTGTTTTTTTAAAAACAAAAATGGAATTTCTCGCATCAAAATCATTACATCTTTAAGAAAAAACGTCACCCTTATTCATTTTGGGAAACAAATTACTATCACATTTTTTATACTTATCAAAATTGAATGATTATTGATTCCTTTGGGGAAAAGAGAAGAAATTAATCATGAGAATACCATTTTTTACGGACAATTCTAAACATCCTCCCATTATCAAAATTGAAGTTGTAAATTCTGGAAGTTTAATCCGGGATATTCATGAAAGGAGAAGCTTTTGTAAAATATAATATAATCATAAATTACTACATTATCAATGGAATTTTATATATTTTATTTTTTTCAGATTCAGTGGAATAAGAACTCTACTCAATTATTGCTATCACCTAGTCAGGTGGTCAGAATTAGAGGAAGAAAAATCTTTCTTGGGTTGACCAACCCCTTTATTTATAGAAAGGTTATTGTAGACTAAAGGATAGGGGAAAAGCCTTAGGTAGAACATATCATTTAAGGGTGGGATAAAAAAAAAGTCAGTTTATTTTAATTATAATTATGATCGGAAGTAGTGTTGTTAAAAACCTTTCGCTGATTTTTTAAAAAGGGCGGAATCAAGATTTTTGAAAAAAATATATTACTTGAACCTCGAGATTTATAACTTTTGGCTTCGTTCTTTCAAGCTCTGTTTCACTGAGATTACGATTTGTTCACAGCGCGTTTTGAGTAAAGCGAAGTGTGTCGAAACGAATAAGTTATAAAATGAACCAAAAATATATATTAAAAGTGGGAAACATGATAACTTAAAAGATCATAGTAGATTATAAGACGCAAAATTTTTATATTAACGGAGCGATATACTGCATTTCCCCTTCAAGAAATCTTTAGAAATTAAATAAAAACTTGAGATTTTTTATTTTTCAATATATTGTAAGTTAAACCAGGGGGTTTAAAGCTCCAGCAATATATATATGTATATATATAATTTAAAATTTAGCGTTTATTTGCTTTTTAACCTTAATTTCACTTCAAAATGTAAATAAAAAATAGTTTTTATTATTAATTAAAATTAATAGTGTTAAAAATGTAAAACGTTTGCTTATTATTTTTTGCCCAAATTATTAAATAAAGAAACCTCTTTAATTAAAATGAACATACTTACCCTTGTTTAAATGAGCACAGCAATTCTCTGCTAATTTATTTATTAATTTTTATAGTATTTGGTTTATAGGATATATTATTACCGACAATTCTTTTTAAAATCCCCTCCGAAAATGATCAAATTTGTATATTTGATAAAAAAAAATAAATAGAAGGTTTTGTTTTTAAAAAATAAATTTTGTTTTCCTTTTTTTCACCTTCGGTCAGGTTATTGCCTCGAAAATATTATATATATATATAATGATTTAAATTTTATTTCGCATTTTAGAAAATACGCATATTTAGTTATATAGTTGTTATTAGGCTTAAAAAGTATGAATCTAAATTCTTTAGAATGTGAAATATATTTTAAAAAATAAAATGTTACCCAAAGAACATGTTGAATGCTTACGAATCATTTCGAATATTTACCAATAATTTGAATACTGATAATATCGAATATTTTTGAATAAATTCAAATATTTTTGGAAAATTTCGAATTAATTTAAATATTTCCGGATAATTTCAAATATTTTCGTATAATACGGATAATTTCGAGGTCGAATAACGAAGAGGCTATTATTAAGCGATTTGAATATCGAATAATTCATCGATAAAGTTGTTAAGCAAATTGCCTGTAATTAAAATTCTTTAAAAAAATATAAGTATTGGTATTTAATATATAATTTATTGGCGGATACTTTGGTACTTTAAAAAATTTTTAAATGTATCTCTTAACACATGATATTTTGTTACATTGCATAAATCAAAATCACTTTTTTAAAAATCAATATATTATGCGTTTTAATTCTTACCTTTATTAGGACAAATTTTTATTAACTATAATGGTTCTAATAAAATTAAACTATTATGTGACCATTTTCGGATTGTTCTTTACCTTTTAAAAAGTTACTTTGAATAAACTTGTTTCAATTATTTTATCTCAAATATTTTTTGGATTCTACAATTTGTTAAATTTTATTAACGCAAAATGAAATGATTAAGTAGAATTAGATAAGATATAATATTATACTATACTAACAAATATTTTTTTTATATACAAATTTTAATTTTAAGACCGCATCTTATTTATCATCATTGACTGACCAAATAGAATTGGTATAAATTCACAGCCATGCCATAACAACGCCTTCCAAAATAAAACTAAAATATTTTAAAATAATTCTTTACTTTAACATTATAAAAATTTTATTACTCTTACTAAAATTCGATTTTATTTTTGGTTTTGCATTTATATATTATCCTTTTCAGTAAAAAAAAATTTTCATTAATAATGTCCTTGATGGGAGGAAATTAATAGATAATCGAATATCTTTTTTTGTCATTCGTAAAATCATACAATTATTTTATTTTTTTGAATTTGTTTTTTTTTTAAAACATACAATGTAAATTTTAATGTTGTGTTAAAAGTTACAGTATCAAAGTTACATCCTTAAAAGGTAACTTACATTTCTTTAAAAGTAACCAGTTACATTGCAAGTTTCCTTATAAATTATTTACATAACCATCATTTTTAATATAATTTTTTTATTATACAAAAATATCTTGCGATTTACAAATTTTAACAAAGGAATCTACAAGCTAAATAAATAATAATTACACTGAAGAAAATATATGATATAATTTTGCTGATTGTTGGAAGATCAATGCCTTGCCAAATGCACCTCAACTAGATTCATCAAAGCAAAAATACTGGGATCTAGGAATAGTATCTCGTTCCTTTGTTTATCTCAACTTGGACGATGATCACCAATACAGATCTCTCCACAGGATGCTTAATTTCAACAATTCCGGCTATGAATTTCCTACCCCAATATCTTAAATAATCAACTAATAGATGACGACTTATTTCATTATGCAATAAGTTTGCGCCTGGGCATACCATTTTTTAAACCAATACACTTACAAAATCAGATCGACTGTTTTGGACACCATGCACTCCATTGTAAATTCATATCAAAAATTAATCGACATAATAAAATAAATATATTTATTTCTACATTTCTCAATAAGGCAAATCTCCCGTGCATTCTTGAACCCACATTCTGCATAGATGAAAAACGCCCCGACGGCAAAATTATAGTTCCATTTGTATCCAAACACTTGGTCTGGGATTTTACATTCATAGACCCCATTGTCCCTTCTAATAACATACATGTCTCTCTTTTCAGGGCTGAGTCTTAAAATTCCAAAAATAGTCCTATCTGCTTCTTTGGGCAAGCCACTTTGAATATTTTTAAAACCGTTTCGAAATCTATAAAGAAAAAAACTTACATCTTATAAACTAAGAAAATAAGGCTATCACAATAATTCGGTCCAATTATTTCATGTTTAAAAATTCTTGGCCTGAACCATTCACTTAACTATCTCCTTATCTTTTTAGCATTATAGCTTTTGAAATTATTGTATACTTTATTTTTAATTCTTTATACATAGTTTTATATTATACATAGCAGAGTTGTTAACGCTCCTTTTTAAAAGTAGCTAGCTCCCGCTCCCGCTTCTACCTTCTCAAGAGGAGCTAGCTCCCGCTCTCGCTATTACATTTTTAAAAGAGCTAGCTCCCCCTCCAAGTAATGGAGTGCGACTCCATAACCGCTCCTTTTCATTTTTTTAGAAGATATACGAAACAAAATCTAATTTTTTTTATCAAAAAGCTTTATTTATATTAAATGATCTATCAAAATATTTATAACCTTTTATTAGCATTTAAAAGTAATAAATTTTCTAAATTAGAATCTAACAAACATCCACGCTTCTCCCCTAAGACCTCTTTTGCAATACTAAATAGGCGCTTCTCAGGAGCACTAGAGGGAAGTGAGGTATTGTATTTTATAAAGATATATTTTAATTTAGGGAATTTCTCAAAAATAGTAATTTTGTTATCATTATTTAAAAAATATTTGTCCAATATATTATCTTCCTGATGATCAATTTCATGGAATCCAAAAAAATCTTCCAAATCATTTTGTATTTAAAAGAAAGATTTTTTACTTTTAGATACTTTTTTAGATTGAAGCTGCTCACTTGAAAATTAAAAGTATTATTTAAACACAAAAGGTATTTTGCCCTTAAATTTGTTTGATCATTTGGATTAACATCTTTTAGAAGTTTGAAATATTTTTTGTATGATGGAAATGGAAATTTGATTTCTTCATCTATGATCTCTAAATCCATAATATCTAAAACTATTTTTTGTTATATATCTATAAAATTAATATTAATATGACAACAAGATTTTCCAAAAAATTTTCAATATAAAAAGGAAATTGATGTTTAATATTTAAAATGATTAGATGAAAAACCAATATAAAACTCGGCTAAACATTTAATAATGGATAAATTTAAATAAAATAAAATTTTATTTTTACTGAATTTTACAAATATTATTAATCTTAATAAAATAATTTAATTTATACATTAAATTTAAAGGAGCGGTGGAGCGGCGCTCCTCCACTCCAGCCCTAAAAGGAGCTAGCTCCCGCACCCAATCCTCAATTTTAAAAAGGAGGCGCTCTAGGTGTTTTTGGAAAAATGTATCAGAGCTCCTACATAGTTTTATATTATAGTATTCATAGGCGTATCCACGATTTTGCTAGGGGGGTGGGAAGCACTATTAGGTGAATTTTTTCCCCATAAATTTTATTGGATATCTTTGGGTCCATTTATTTTAGGTCTTTGGCTATATTCGATTTTTATAAAAAATTTTAGGTCTTCACTTTTTTAAAAAATTAAAATGCTTTTTTTTCTAAAAATTTTGAATTACAGTCGTTATTTTAAAAAGTTATTAACTTTTACTAATTTTTTCAAATTCTTCCTTATAATGATATAACGGCTACATTTTTTGGGAGTGGGGAGTGTGTGGCAGGGGGATTTTTATTTTAATATGATATTTACGAGAACAGGCAAATTTGCGATATAAACGTTCTACTAGAACGCTTGATGTAAATGAGGTATTATATTTAATAAACAATAATTTTTAATAAGAAATTATTAAAATAATTAATGGAGTATGGATATTCGAGATCACCGCAGCCGCGGGACAGGGAAACAGATTTTTGGATAGGATAAATTGTTAAAGATATTTGCAAACCGGGCCAATGTTTTGAAAAAGTTTTTAAAGC